CATCTGTACATCTGCAAGATGCACATGAAGCGAGCTGCGCTGCGAGGCTACGCGCACGCAGAGCGCGCCACCGCACACCACTACACCGCGCACTACGCACAGGTACCCGCTGTACATCAACTGTACATCTGTACATCTGTACATCTGCAAGATGCACATGAAGCGAGCTGCTCTGCGAGGCTACGCGCACGCAGAGCGCGCCACCGCGCACCACTACACCGCGCACTACGCACAGGTACCCGCTGTACACCAACTGTACGTCTGTACATCTGTACATCTGCAAGATGCACATGAAGCGAGCTGCGCTGCGAGGCTACGCGCACGCAGAGCGCGCCACCGCGCACCACTACACCGCGCACTACGCACAGGTACCCGCTGTACACCAACTGTACATCCGTACATCTGCAAGATGCACATGAAGCGAGCTGCGCTGCGAGGCTACGCGCACGCAGAGCGCGCCACCGCGCACCACTACACCGCGCACTACGCACAGGTACCCGCTGTACACCAACTGTACATCTGTACATCTGTACATCTGCAAGATGCACATGAAGCGAGCTGCGCTGCGAGGCTACGCGCACGCAGAGCGCGCCACCGCGCACCACTACACCGCGCACTACGCACAGGTACCCGCTGTACACCAACTGTACATCTGTACATCTGCAAGATGCACATGAAGCGAGCTGCGCTGCGAGGCTACGCGCACGCAGAGCGCGCCACCGCGCACCACTACACCGCGCACTACGCACAGGTACCCGCTGTACACCAACTGTACATCTGTACATCTGTACATCTGTACATCTGTACATCTGTACATCTCCAAGATGCCCATGAAGCGAGCTGCGCTGCGAGGCTACGCGCACGCAGAGCGCGCCACCGCACACCACTACACCGCGCACTACGCACAGGTACCCGCTGTACACCAACTGTACATCTGTACATCTGTACATCTGCAAGATGCACATGAAGCGAGCTGCGCTGCGAGGCTACGCGCACGCAGAGCGCGCCACCGCGCACCACTACACCGCGCACTACGCACAGGTACCCGCTGTACACCAACTGTACATCTGTACATCTGTACATCTGCAAGATGCACATGAAGCGAGCTGCGCTGCGAGGCTACGCGCACGCAGAGCGCGCCACCGCGCACCACTACACCGCGCACTACGCACAGGTACCCGCTGTACACCAACTGTACATCTGTACATCTGTACATCTGTACATCTGCAAGATGCACATGAAGCGAGCTGCGCTGCGAGGCTACGCGCACGCAGAGCGCGCCACCGCGCACCACTACACCGCGCACTACGCACAGGTACCCGCTGTACACCAACTGTACATCTGTACATCTGTACATCTGTACATCTGCAAGATGCACATGAAGCGAGCTGCGCTGCGAGGCTACGCGCACGCAGAGCGCGCCACCGCGCACCACTACACCGCGCACTACGCACAGGTACCCGCTGTACACCAACTGTACATCTGTACATCTGTACATCTGTACATCTGCAAGATGCACATGAAGCGAGCTGCGCTGCGAGGCTACGCGCACGCAGAGCGCGCCACCGCGCACCACTACACCGCGCACTACGCACAGGTACCCGCTGTACACCAACTGTACATCTGTACATCTGTACATCTGTACATCTGTACATCTGCAAGATGCACATGAAGCGAGCTGCGCTGCGAGGCTACGCGCACGCAGAGCGCGCCACCGCACACCACTACACCGCGCACTACGCACAGGTACCCGCTGTACATCAACTGTACATCTGTACATCTGTACATCTGCAAGATGCACATGAAGCGAGCTGCTCTGCGAGGCTACGCGCACGCAGAGCGCGCCACCGCGCACCACTACACCGCGCACTACGCACAGGTACCCGCTGTACACCAACTGTACATCTGTACATCTGTACATCTGTACATCTGTACATCTGCAAGATGCACATGAAGCGAGCTGCGCTGCGAGGCTACGCGCACGCAGAGCGCGCCACCGCACACCACTACACCGCGCACTACGCACAGGTACCCGCTGTACACCAACTGTACATCTGTACATCTGCAAGATGCACATGAAGCGAGCTGCGCTGCGAGGCTACGCGCACGCAGAGCGCGCCACCGCGCACCACTACACCGCGCACTACGCACAGGTACCCGCTGTACACCAACTGTACATCTGTACATCTGTACATCTGTACATCTGCAAGATGCACATGAAGCGAGCTGCGCTGCGAGGCTACGCGCACGCAGAGCGCGCCACCGCACACCACTACACCGCGCACTACGCACAGGTACCCGCTGTACACCAACTGTACATCTGTACATCTGTACATCTGCAAGATGCACATGAAGCGAGCTGCGCTGCGAGGCTACGCGCACGCAGAGCGCGCCACCGCACACCACTACACCGCGCACTACGCACAGGTACCCGCTGTACACCAACTGTACATCTGTACATCTGCAAGATGCACATGAAGCGAGCTGCGCTGCGAGGCTACGCGCACGCAGAGCGCGCCACCGCGCACCACTACACCGCGCACTACGCACAGGTACCCGCTGTACACCAACTGTACATCTGTACATCTGTACATCTGTACATCTGCAAGATGCACATGAAGCGAGCTGCGCTGCGAGGCTACGCGCACGCAGAGCGCGCCACCGCACACCACTACACCGCGCACTACGCACAGGTACCCGCTGTACACCAACTGTACATCTGTACATCTGTACATCTGCAAGATGCACATGAAGCGAGCTGCGCTGCGAGGCTACGCGCACGCAGAGCGCGCCACCGCGCACCACTACACCGCGCACTACGCACAGGTACCCGCTGTACACCAGCTGTACATCTGTACATCTGCAAGATGCACATGAAGCGAGCTGCGCTGCGAGGCTACGCGCACGCAGAGCGCGCCACCGCGCACCACTACACCGCGCACTACGCACAGGTACCCGCTGTACACCAACTGTACATCTGTACATCTGTACATCTGTACATCTGCAAGATGCACATGAAGCGAGCTGCTCTGCGAGGCTACGCGCACGCAGAGCGCGCCACCGCGCACCACTACACCGCGCACTACGCACAGGTACCCGCTGTACACCAACTGTACATCTGTACATCTGTACATCTGTACATCTGTACATCTGCAAGATGCACATGAAGCGAGCTGCGCTGCGAGGCTACGCGCACGCAGAGCGCGCCACCGCACACCACTACACCGCGCACTACGCACAGGTACCCGCTGTACACCAACTGTACATCTGTACATCTGTACATCTGCAAGATGCACATGAAGCGAGCTGCTCTGCGAGGCTACGCGCACGCAGAGCGCGCCACCGCGCACCACTACACCGCGCACTACGCACAGGTACCCGCTGTACACCAACTGTACATCTGTACATCTGTACATCTGTACATCTGTACATCTGTACATCTGCAAGATGCACATGAAGCGAGCTGCGCTGCGAGGCTACGCGCACGCAGAGCGCGCCACCGCGCACCACTACACCGCGCACTACGCACAAGTACCCGCTGTACACCAACTGTACATCTGTACATCTGTACATCTGTACATCTGTACATCTGCAAGATGCACATGAAGCGAGCTGCGCTGCGAGGCTACGCGCACGCAGAGCGCGCCACCGCGCAACACTACACCGCGCACTACGCACAGGTACCCGCTGTACACCAACTGTACATCTGTACATCTGTACATCTGTACATCTGCAAGATGCACATGAAGCGAGCTGCGCTGCGAGGCTACGCGCACGCAGAGCGCGCCACCGCGCACCACTACACCGCGCACTACGCACAGGTACCCGCTGTACACCAACTGTACATCTGTACATCTGTACATCTGTACATCTGCAAGATGCACATGAAGCGAGCTGCGCTGCGAGGCTACGCGCACGCAGAGCGCGCCACCGCGCACCACTACACCGCGCACTACGCACAGGTACCCGCTGTACACCAACTGTACATCTGTACGTCTGTACATCTGTACATCTGTACATCTGCAAGATGCACATGAAGCGAGCTGCGCTGCGAGGCTACGCGCACGCAGAGCGCGCCACCGCGCACCACTACACCGCGCACTACGCACAGGTACCCGCTGTACACCAACTGTACATCTGTACGTCTGTACATCTGTACATCTGTACATCTGCAAGATGCACATGAAGCGAGCTGCGCTGCGAGGCTACGCGCACGCAGAGCGCGCCACCGCACACCACTACACCGCGCACTACGCACAGGTACCCGCTGTACACCAACTGTACATCTGTACATCTGTACATCTGCAAGATGCACATGAAGCGAGCTGCGCTGCGAGGCTACGCGCACGCAGAGCGCGCCACCGCGCACCACTACACCGCGCACTACGCACAGGTACCCGCTGTACACCAACTGTACATCTGTACATCTGTACATCTGTACATCTGCAAGATGCACATGAAGCGAGCTGCGCTGCGAGGCTACGCGCACGCAGAGCGCGCCACCGCGCACCACTACACCGCGCACTACGCACAGGTACCCGCTGTACACCAACTGTACATCTGTACGTCTGTACATCTGTACATCTGTACATCTGCAAGATGCACATGAAGCGAGCTGCGCTGCGAGGCTACGCGCACGCAGAGCGCGCCACCGCGCACCACTACACCGCGCACTACGCACAGGTACCCGCTGTACACCAACTGTACATCTGTACATCTGTATATCTGTACATCTGCAAGAAGCACATGAAGCGAGCTGCGCTGCGAGGCTACGCGCATGCACAGTTACCCGTCGTAATTCTTGATGTACGAGTATGTATTCTACACAATGTATATTATTTAGAATAAATTGAAAACACAACTTTAACAGTTTATTACACACTGATTTTTATTTTACAATGGTGCATTGTAAGTAGTTCGAACCGCGTCAGCATAAAGTATATTGTATGGTTTTTTGGACCAAACAACTGTACTTAATATTATTACATTGTACTTTACAGGCTGCACGCTTTCCGCCATGCTACGAGGCGTCGAGACTATTGGAGCAGAGTCGTGAAGCACCTGCCAGCCCGGCGAGAGAACAACAGGTCAGCACGTACATGCATGTACGCATGCACACGTACGCACGTACACGTATGCACGTACACGTACGCACGTACACGTACGAATATACACATACATACGTACACGTACGAACATACACGTACGCACGTACACGTAGGTACGTTCACGTACGAATATACACATATGCACGTACACGTAAGTACATACACGTACGCACGTACAAGTATGCACATACACGTATGCATGTACACGTACGAATATACACGTACGCACATACGCGTACACACGTACACGTATGAATACACACGTACACGTATGAATACACGTATACGTACGCACATATACGTGAGAACGTACACTTACGCACGTATATGTACACGTAAGCACGTATACGTACACGTACGCATATATATGTAAGAGTTTACGGACATGTACGCACGTGGACGTACGAACATACATGAATGCGTACAAGGCACACTAGCCGGTAAGATTCCTTCCTGCCTAATAGTCCGTTTAGATAAATACCATTTTTTTACCTATTTCTGCTGTGTTCCAATCTGAAGAGTATAGAGTTAGTGTAAATATAGGCTGTGCGGAATTTCATCATACTGCCTACAACATTGTGCGAGCACTGTTATTTGGTAGCAGAAATGGGTATGTAATAGAGGGTGGTATCTACCCAGACGGACTGCTAGACAGAAAAAGAGTCGTACCTAGTAAGAGTGAGGATGAGTAATGACGAGTTGTGTTGCAGGGTGAGGGCGCGGAGAGCGGGCGCTCGGAGCACTCGGAGCGCGCGGGCGCGGCGCCGGCCGACGGCTGCGGGCTCGCGCGCCTGTCCGCCATCTTCTCCTCGCGCTACCGCCAGGTGACCGCCCGCTAATATAATTATGTCCTCCACACCGAATTTGGCTCGTCGTCCAGTCTCCACGGAAACTAACCAGCTGCGCAGAACAGGATTATAGTGCACGAGTATATGCGCAAACACAGGTGCACTCTCTATTCCCTCACTCTCATAGGCCGACACGACCGAAGAGATATCAAGCGTAGGACCTAATCATCAGCCGCATTTACAACCACTAGACTAAAGAGACCATCTAAATATATAACTGTCTCGTTGCTCTAGTGATCGTAAGCGCGACTGCTGATGAGGTCGGGCCAGGTTTTATATCTTTGTCGGGGGTGTGTCTGGTTGTTTGTTAAGAATGTTGAATTGATAACGTTCGAAATAGTAAAAAATCACTTTATTTAAAACAGTTACAAAAATGTTAATAAATTGTTATGAATGCACCCGTCACTGTTGCGTAACGAAATTGCACTAAACAAATTGGCGGCATGGCGCCAATTGCTGACAAAGGTGTTCGGTTTCACCGAACATATTCCCGGGGGATGAAGATAACATAAACAGTAAAATTAAAAATTAAGAAACACATATTATAAAGATTCATCAGTGAGCACTAATTTAGGGAACGCAACGCGCGATTTCACATCTTGTTTTCCTGAAATGTTCATGTCCACCATCTGAATATCCTGTTGTGATGTGGAGATGCTGGTTCGCGGCGCAGGATACGGGCGAGAGCAGCGCTGCTCTTCCGTTTTCGGGTCTACATTAGGGTTGTTCCAACTCCGTCGCACCTTACGCCATGCTGCTATCACTCCCACCAGAAGTATAACACCGACGATGCAGTAAATTAAAGCGTAGTGGTGTATATCATGAAATGATACACTTTGTCCCTCATTCCCATTACTTTGTTTTAATGATTTAATTTTATCTTCTATGTCTTTCTTAAATAATGTGAGTTCGGCTACAGTATCATTGTCATCTAAATAGTGGTCTAACGATATATTTATTATATGATTTATCGGTGCTATATTTGGCATTTGTATGTCGTAATTAAGGTTCATTTTGCTTCCAAAATTTCTATGTCCATAAATCGTAAAGTCGTTTATTTTGATGACGCACTCGTCGTCTTGATATATGACGTTGCTACCGATCAGGTGGTGTGCGGAAACACGATCTCCGCATATTATTCTCAGCTGACATTGTTCGCAACAAAAATAAAGGTAAGTGTTCATTGTAGTTAATCCAGTCCACTTGTTCTCACACGCGGTTTTGCTTGTTTTACATTCATTATTAGTACTGTCTAAGATGCACAAATCTTTATCAGATTTCATCTTAAATACTGGAGTTTGTAGTTTGCACATAAATGTTTTGGCATCCCATGAGACACATTCCTTCAAGTTCTCTTGAGTTATAGGTAAGTAGCTATCCTTTTGGAGATTGATTGCGATGATCTCAGCTACTGGTGATATTGTTAAGACGTAGTTGCCGATTTTCTTCGGAATGGAGATCACATTATACAGATTAAACGATTCACGGCTTATTAACGGAATCTTAATTTCAAATATAAAATAATCCTTTGTTATCCTGGCTCTGATCTTCATGAGTCTATATAACTTGTGATAATCTGTATGTATATTTTCAACTGGCAGTGTTAAGTCTTTGGTTAATAATCCGGCAATAATATTTAGTTGTTCTTGTAATTGTTGTGGCGTTAACAAGTGTAAATTGAATTGGCCTTGGTAAATATTTGTAATCGTTTCAACCATCATTGCCTGGATTTCTTTCAATTTATGGATCATATTGGTAGCCATAATTGCCGACATAGTGAAATCTTCTTCCTTATCGACTTCGATTACTTCTCGTTGTAGTGTCTTTATAGCCTCACCAAGATTGTTTAGTTGTCTATTTATAGCTTTGTGTTGTTTATCCATAATTCCCTCCAACCGTTTCAGATAGTTGTATTCGGATTCTACCACAGATGTCTGATTGATCCACAACCTTTTAAGATGGGCTTGGTCTTGTTTGATAAAGTTAATGTCACGTGTATATTGTTCGGCGAATCGCTCATCCAATACTCCGAACAATGTATTAGCCAGGTAACCGACCCCATTGATAAGGCCGCGTCGTCGCCGTCTGGAGCGCTCGGTAAAATGTTGGGTCAGCAACAGCTGATTATAGTATTGTAACTCCGTATACTCGTGACGTAGCTGTGGAACAATCAGGTTACATTTGTTGTTTGTATCCATAATTATGCATGATTTTTCTAGGTAGTCTAATAATTTCTTGAATGCTTCTGTCCCATCCCAAAAGGGTTCCATCTCATAGTAGGTTACTAGGGTCCATTGATCTCTCAGAAGCTGTAGTTTTGCCAACGGGTTAAAGTACAATGTTTGTTTTTCATTCAGATGAGTTATATTGCTTGTTCCATTCACCGTAGACACCAATGTTGTAAAGAATAGTAAAGCCATAACGATGGAGTGTAAACTTGAATGACCTATTGACCTCTTGTTTTTTGTTTTATTTTCTTGCAACTGTTCGCTGCTATCGCTGTCACTGCTTGCTTTTTGAATTGGTAAAATGCTTAGTTTTACAATAGGCCGTTTTAAATACCCCTTTTCTGTTTTAAGAGTTACAACTCGAACGTGGCCGTCGCTGCCGGGATGTAACTCGACCACTCTTGCCATAGGCCACTTCCCAGCAGGCAGGTTGTCATCATGGATTGTCACCAGATCCCCAATTCCTATGTTCCGTTGTGGTCGAAACCATTTGGTTCTTACAGTTAGTTCTAACAAGTACTCTGACCTCCACTTCTTCCATATTTGTTGGAATATTTCAGTTGTTAAATGCCATCTGGTTCTAGCGTCTTCGGTAGTTTGGATGATCGTTAATCCTGCTCGTCCAGTAAGGAAGTGCGCCGGCGATAAATATTCTAAGTCTTCAATATTCTCCGTGAGTGCGCACAGGGGCCGGGAGTTTAAGCACGCCTCCAGCTGTGCTAGGATGGTAGAGTATTCTTCAAACGTAAGCCGCTGTTCGCCCACGACTCGCCTTAGGTGGAATTTGAGGCTCTGAACAGCTCTTTCCCAGAGCCCCCCAGCGCTCGGCCATGAAGGGGCATTAAAATGCCACTCAATGTTCATATTAGCCAGCACACTCAAGAAATTGTCATCAAATGTCTGTCGCAGCTGTTCGTACTCCTCCTGTATAACGCGGTTGGCACCGACAAAGTTCGTTCCACAGTCACTATATAGGTGACACGGAGCTCCGCGACGTGCTGACATTCTTCGCAGGGCAGCAAGGAAAGCGGTGCTGGACAGATCGGATACTAACTCCAAGTGCACCGCCTTTGTCACCATACAGATGAAAACTGCTATGTAGCCCTTCGATGATCTTGCACTTCTTGTTTTGTTGGCCTTAACTTCTACGAAACCGGTGTAATCTACCCCCGTATGGAAGAATGGGGGCGCAAGCTCCGTTCGTGCAGGTGGCAAATCACCCATCAATTGATGGGATAGTTCTGGCTTGTTCTTGCGACACATCACACAGTTTCTCAACTGTTTTTTCACTGCGCTTAGTCCTCCAACGATCCAGTATTGTTGTCTGAGATTAGCAGACACCAATTTGGGACCTCCATGAAAGGTAAGTTTATGGGCTTCATGGATTAGCAGCTCTGCTAGGCGACTGTTTCGAGGAATGATTTTGGGATGTTTTGTTTCCATATTTAATTGCAATCTTTTTAAGCGACCACCAACTCTCAACAATCCGGCTTCGTCAATAAATGGATTCAAATTTAATAATTTACTTTTTGTTGTTACTGTGCCCGATTTACGTAAATGTTCAATATCCGTTTTAAATTCATTGTGTTGCACATACTTCACGATCAGCATTTTTGCGGCAGCAAGTTCATGTAACGTGATATAGCTCGGCCTTTGCACGCGCGGCTTCGGTGCAAGTGTCCTCAATAACCAAGCGACAATTCGTATTATTTTGTTGAATGAACTATAGTTTTGTAACAAATTATTAATCGTATGATCTTCTTGATTCTGGGTGACATGTACGTGTTTTGATCTTAAATCATGATTTGTTGTATATGTTTCTGTTTGTAACTGTTCTTTGTTGAATGTTGAGAGCCAGGATGGCCCCTGCCACCACAGTTTATGTTCCTTAAGTTGTAATGCATATAACCCTCTGCTCGCCGCGTCTGCGGGGTTTTCGTTTGATTTTACATAACGCCAACACGCGCTTGGCATGACGTCAGTTGTTTTTTGCACCCTGTTTGCAACAAAGGGTTTCCATCGGGTCGGATCACCTTGCAGCCAGCCGAGCACCGCCGTCGAGTCCGTCCAGCCATAAATATCCAGTTCATGTTGACTAAAAGCTTCTGTTACTTTTTTCATTAGTTTTGATAGTAAATTAGCCCCACAAAGTTCTAGTCTAGGAACTGTTATCGGTTTTTTCAATGGAGCTAATTTGGTTTTTGCAGCTACTAGCGTCGCCTGCTTCCCCTCAATCCTCGCATAAATGACGCAAGCATACGCTTCCAGTGAGGCGTCACAGAAGCCATGCAACTGTATGACGTCATCTTTGTGACACAGGATCCACCTTGGGATCTTGTATTGATTAATGATCTTGATTTCTGTCTTTATCATAGCCCATTCCTTCTCTATTTCAGGTGAAACCTTATCGTCCCATTTCAAATCTTCTTGCCACAGTTTTTGAAAAAGCAGTTTCAGTTTTGTCGAAAGTGGCGCCAAAAATCCTAGAGGGTCAAAGAGTCTCGAAACTTCAGACAGCAATCTTCTTTTTGTTAAGGGTAATGTTTCCTTTGGTATTTTATGTTGAAATAAAAATGTATCGTCCTTCGAATCCCAGCATAATCCTAATGGTTTTGAAATGTTTTCGGTTTTAAAATTATACACCTCTCTCTGTTCTGTCTCTGTTATGGTTCCTGGTTGTTTTATGTTTTCTAAAAGCTGTGGTTCGTTTGACGACCATTTTCGCAAATTGAAACCTCCTGACTTCATCAGTAATTTTAAATCAGATATAAGTTTCATTCCTTCTTCTATGAACGATGTTCCATATAAAAGATCGTCCATAAAAAATGCTGATTCGACAATTTTTGCCGCTTCTGGAAAACTTGCTCGTTCGTCAGCTGCTAGCCTTCTCAAGGTCATCATGGCTAGAAAAGGTGCCGCTCGTGTCCCGTAAGTGACTGTTGTTAAGAAAAATGTTTGTATAGGCTCTTCAGGTCTTTGTCTCCAAAAAATTTTCTGATATTTCTGGTCATCCTCATTTATTAAAATCATCCTAAACATTTTTTCAATATCGGCTGTAAAAACGTATTGATATTGCCTCCATTTAAGAAGGAGCATCTGAAGGTCAACTTGTAAATTCGGGCCAGTATGCATCAAGTCATTTAGACTGTACCCCGATGATGTTTTGTGTGAGGCGTTATAGACAACCCTATATTGGGTTGTTAATGAATCGGCCTTTTCTACACCGTGGTGCGGTAAATAGTATTCCGGTGTCTCATTACTGTTCGCCGGCTTCATATGTTTTAAGGCCAAGTACTCACTCATGAACGCTCGATAATCGTTTGCTAATTTTGCATGCTTATGAAATTTCTTCTCCAAATTTCTAAATTGAGCCAAGGCTGATAATTTTGATGATCCCAGTTTATTTTCAATGTCTTCTTTTAGCGGTAGTCTAACTTCATAACGGCCATCTTCTTTCCTGTTTGTTGTCGAATTGTAGAAGTCGACGCAGCTTTGATCTTCAAGGGATAAATTAGATGGTCCACTTATTTCTTCGACTTCCCAAAACCTCTTAATCTCATCTAAGTTATGTAGCAAAACGTTGCATTTATATGTGTTCACACTTCCACATAAGAGCCAGCCTAAGTGAGTTTGCTGCACGATAGGCTGTGTTGAGTTCTCCCCCTTAATCATTCCGTTAAGTAAAATGGTTGAATAAATGTCAGCGCCAAACAATATATCTATTGGGCGACTTATATAAAACTCAGGGTCTGCCAGTGATATATTCTCGATGCATGTCCAGTTAGGTTTCATAAATGTTTTGTTAGGTAGTTTTCCGACTAAATTCTTCATAATAATGACGTCAGTTTGAAAGTTAAAATCATTATAAATCGACTGACATTTTATGTTTATCATGCCCTTTCCGTTACTTTCTCTTTCGCCAACTCCAAAAATAGACCCCTTGCAATTGTTTCTCTTGATTTTCAGTCGTTGAGCTGCACTTTCGGTGATAAGGGATATCTGAGACCCTTGGTCTACCAGTGCTCTCATTTTCATCGAGGTGCCGTCGGCGGCCGTGACATTCACTATAGCGGTAGCTAACAGGACTTCAGATGACTTATTTTGTTCTATGTTTTGAGACACGTGCGAGTGCAGCGCCGTGTTGCTGTCGTCATTGTTTGGTTGAGCTGCTGTGACACTGGCCGCGGATGTAACTCGCTTGGCACAAGCATCGTGCATTATAGTGTTGTGTTTTTTCGTACATTTTCGGCATGTTTTTGTGGATATGCATTCGTTGCCATTGTGGTTAAATAGACAATTAATGCATACTTTCAGCTCTTTCACGGTTTTCAGTTTTTGGTCATTTGTTAATTCCAGAAAACGTTTACAATTGTATAAACCGTGTTCATTGTGACAAAGCGGGCATTTTATTGCAGTCACGTTGAATGCTGACCTTGCAATTTGCTTGACCTCCTTTGTCATGTTACTGTAATTGTTTGATTTATAAAATCTTCCGTAAGAAGTTGATGGCTGCATTTGTTGAGAATTTTGATTGTTTGAGTTAGTTTTCTGATGTATGTTCCTCCGGGATGACTCCATAGCTGTGAATTTTCCCTCCAAAAAATTAAGAAAATCCTTCAATGTAGGAAGTTCTCTGCGGTCCCTTAGTGAGTCAATATATTCAGAGTGACTGTGAGAATCGAGTTTCAGATCCAGAATATGCACGATGAGCGGATCCCATGTGCTGATATCCACGCCTAAATTTTTAATAGAGTTCAGACTTTCCAGCGTGACGTCATGCATGCGTTTTATACAGACAAATGATTGTGTTTTCATATTAGGCAAGTCCAACAGATTATTTATGTGAGAGGAAAATATTAACTTCTTATTGTTATAACGTTGATTGAGAATATCCCAACAAACGCTATAGTTATCTGAGCTGATATGCAGATGTTGAATTAGGCGTTCAGCTTCCCCACGGATTTTACTTTTGAGGAACTGCATTTTTTGTGCCTTTGAGAGCGCCGTGTTATTATGCACAGTTTCTGTAAAGAGATCCTTGAACGACACCCACTGGTTGTAATTTCCGTGGAAGGTGGGTATTTCTATTTTAGGAGTTGTTTTCTCCCGGTGCGTCTCCGACCAAATTTTCGAGTTAATGGCCTTTTTTAGTTTGTTATATTCCTCTTCATGTTTGTAGAATAGGTCTTCCAGTTCCCTATCTTCTAAACCGTTAAGTTCGCTCTCAATCTCCCAATGGAGGGAATCCACTTTCAACCAACGCGCTTCTAATGTTCTAAGAGTATCATCCAACTCCCACTTCTCTGTTATTGTTTCGATGTTTATAGTATCTATAGTTCTTTGCAATGCTTTGTAATTAGCTCCTTGTCTTCTTAGTTTTTCCTCCATGTTATTGCATACAGATACAGATGTTGGTGGTACCGTACTTACGGTTGGTTTTTGTTTGCTGGGCGTTTCAGGCATATCATGAAATACTTCTTGCTCAAAATATTCTTTCTGCACATACTTCTCAATTGTTGTTACAGCACTAGAATACAGTTTTCTTACCGATTCGTAATGTTTGTTGAGAAAGTAATCACTGGTTTGATCTTCGCACTGGACCAAGATTTCGTGGTTAGCTTGAAAATCTTCAATGAATACGTTTAGGCGCTCCAGTCTTCTTTTCGCTGTGGCATACCTCCGTTCAGTGTTATCTTTCTTGAAGCTATCCAACTCCTTCTGGATGTCTGCTGTTAATTCTGACTGTTTTCGTAGAAGATCTTCCATTGTTTATTGTTGTTGTTCGTAATGTTATTGTTTATGTTACGCAGACACTATACCCCTGTTAATGTTTCGTTAGATTTTTAGTAAGCCCTCATGTGAATAACGCACCTTCTCAATCCGCTGGTGAGACCCGCTTGTGGGAGGCCAGAGGACCGATTGCTCACACTTGAAACTCACTAAAAACCACCGCTCGAAGGACCAGATGTCGGGGGTGTGTCTGGTTGTTTGTTAAGAATGTTGAATTGATAACGTTCGAAATAGTAAAAAATCACTTTATTTAAAACAGTTACAAAAATGTTAATAAATTGTTATGAATGCACCCGTCACTGTTGCGTAACGAAATTGCACTAAACAAATTGGCGGCATGGCGCCAATTGCTGACAAAGGTGTTCGGTTTCACCGAACAATCTTGTAATTATACTACTTATATTATTTCAGGTGCCAACCCAGTGCTGTGATGTCGAAATGACCGACGTCCGTTCCTCCTCCCTCAACAACTCACCTCTCCGGACTCGAACCCAGCTCACTGACTACCGCAGCCCCACCTATTGCGACCTCGCCCACATGCACCTCAGCGAAGACAACGCCCGCGAGCTCAACTACATGGCAACACCCGTAGAATTCTTCCGGAGACGAGCTCTGAGACGAAATACGTTGGAAAGAGTAATCGACCACATCAACCAAGCCCAAAGACCTCTCACACTGCAACTAGGTAGGTTCCAACTTAGTATACCTAGGTTTGGTCGCAGATCGTCAACAGAACCACGCCCCGATACTCCAAACGTAGCCGAAATTAACATCGAAGATCTAGATTTCGTCCGTCTCAACTCCAACGAGACTTACACACTGAACGGAAGGACTATCCGACTGTTGGGTGGTAACTTTGAAAACTACCCAGTGCTCCCCGATACAACAGTCCAGCCACCTCCTTATACAGAGGCAATGAGATACAAAGTATTTGGGCCCCCACCAGAATACTTAAGTAGGGAGGGACTGAATAGTGACACAAACAACGGTAACAATGTTAACGTTGATGAAGAAGCCAGGAACAATATAGAAATGCCTCCATGCTATGAAGATTTTGCCTCCGGTGTTGATGCCAACGCTAACTTAGCATCCGCACAAAGTAGCGCTGAGAACACTGAAACCGCAAATAACTGTGATAACGCAGAAGTTAGTTCAAACGTACCGAATAATGGTAATGTGGGAGAATATACAGATCAAGGTTCAGGGAATGTGGCAGAAAGTTTGAGCTCGGTAATTGACAATCTGCCGGCTATTGACAGTGATGTAAATGCAAACGAGACTCTGGTTCAAGTTAATGAGTAATAAAAACCGAAAAATACAAATAAATTAAACATACCAGTAATAATTTCTTACATTAACGCAAACTACATATTGAACGAAACTAAATTTTTTTTTACAGATTTTATCGCGTTTAATTAACCTCTATTCCGCATGTTCCGATTTACGTCACAAGGGAACTGGGGTGTTCGACGTCTCAATGTCATAGTTAACCACGGCCACCTTCATTCAAAAATTAGTAATATTTTTGTCCAATCTATGAACAAAGACAAGTGCAGAATTATAACCACAATACCTAGGGCGGGAAGAAAAAAATCTATGCATAAAGAACCTATAGTATCTTGCAGTTTTGTAGTTGGTCTGTTTGGGTTGGGCTTAAATTTTATTAATTTTAGGAACCCAAGCATATGGTAGCACCCAGCCATCTTCTCCTTTTTTGTATCGGTGTTTTATTTTTTGCGAGGGTTTGTGATCTATCAAATGTAATGTAATGTAAACAAAAAGATTATTAAAAGCAGTTGAATGAAAATAAGGCGTCAGTAGCCTAATGGCAGGGCGCGGACCGCGAACTCGAAAGGTTGTGGGTTCGAATCCGCCATTCGACTACTGTCGTGAACTACTTCTAACACAAGCATTTTACGCTTACCAGAAGTGGTTAAAGGGAATATTAGTAATGCTTAATAGCATTACTAGAATTTTTTTTAAAGTATAAAAAAATTACCATTAAAGCAAATAAAATTAATAATTTTAAAGTGAAGGTAGTCGTAGTCAACTATGACTTTGGGACGTCGAACACCACAGTCACCCTGTGACCATAGGTAAGCGCTCAAAACCTCAGTGATATAAAATAAGTTAAAATAAACACGATACAATTCGTAAAAAAATAATAATTTCCGTCAAAAATAACACTCCCATTGCCATATCTATGAAATAGGAAGAACTGTGCCCAGCACCGTTATAGAACAGAAGAGTTATAAAAAAAATCAATCACAATCTTTAGAACATAGTTTCGTAAAGAGATCTTTTTCTTTAAAGTTCATAGATGGAAATGGAAGCCTTAAAACTATCACTTCCTAAATACCTAATATTTTGTAATATTTGGTTATCTAAAGGGATCATAATTTTAAAATTTGTCATTTACACAAGTATTTAAGTTACGTTATTCCAATTTTTTTAATAACAGGAATTCTGAAGGAATTGTATTTCATTTACTTGTTATAACTTTCACTACTTGTTATAACTTTCACTATACGTTTTTGATAATTTCCATTGGTTATACAAAAACAAAAGTATATCTTTTTCTTTCTAAAAATTATTGCCATTTAATAACTTGCCATTTTTTCATTCATACAACATAATAGAAAAATTGAGGCCTAATGGAATGATCAAATATTTTACATAATTATTAAAATACGTATTTTTATTTTATATGTGGGACTTAAGTTGTTTATAATGATACGGGTCGAACACTCGCCTACAGGGGAAAGATGTATCAGTGTTGACAAGTGTTGATGTTCTTAAAATTATGTACTGTCCATTAGTTGTACTTTATGTAGCTTTTACTAATGTTGCCATATTTAGGAGTTGTGCGCATCAATGTGGCTGCATCTTTGTATAAAACAAACTTAAGAATTGAATATTTATACTGTTTATTGTTAACTTAATTTTAACATAAAGCATCGTATACATTATCATCCAATGTATACATCATCATTCCTAAAAGTTCACTGCCTTTGCAGAGACCTCACTTGTTTTAGGGAGGAATTGCAATAATCGCAAATATATATTTTTATTTATGATTCCGTATGCATGCTTCGTGGCAGTGTGGGAGGGGCTATATTTTTCAATCAGGTTATATTCGAAACCAATTAAAATATAGTTGCTGGACGGACACTTTAAGAAATCTATTATTTTGTATGCATATCATATATATAGCCACACTGAAGCGCACAGCAGTGCCCTCTATATTGTTTTGTACGTAAAATAGTGATACTCATTTTGTGTACATATTTATTTCAAAATATTCTTGTTGAGTCGTCTGTCTGTTGAGTTTTGTTTGATGTTGCATGTTTTGTGCGACTGTGGTGGAATTCTGATCTTATTTTGAATAAGTTGTGACTTTTATAAGGCAAAGTGTTATGGGTAGGTCCGGATGAGTCCATTGTACATGTTCTGATTTTTTTTTACTATTATAAGCCATTGTGGTAGAGCCGCGCTGCAGCTATATTATGGTTGTAGCACGTATGGGTCGGCTCGACCGGGGTGAGACCAAGCTCTCACAGAATACCAATCGCAAAGCAGCTTAATGCTGCTGTGTTTCGTATGGTGAGCGTAGACTACAGGAGACCCTTTTTTCCCGAAACGTGGCATTCCATCTTAGTCGTCAGGGGTGACAACTCATATACACACATTCACTTACCATCAGGTGGACTGTGTACTCGTTTGTCACACTGATTCTATTAAAAAAATCCAGTGCTTGAATGGGATGTGGTGATGCTTAAGTTGGTAAAGCGCAGTGACTGAGCTTAACATTCACTGTCCGGTTTCCAGACGCAATAGTAAGACAATAGCAATGAACTATGTGTGGGTCTCGGGAAAGTGTACCTTTACTGCTTCGTCGGTCCAGTCGTAAGTGCGGTTGCCGATCATGAGATCCTTTGTTCACCAAAATTAGTTTTGGTTTTTCTGTCGACAAATTCTCAGTAGCAGAAGATGGCGGTATTTCACCCCACCCTGTAAGCACGTAAAGCCGTAGCTCCTGTACCTGATCTCACTCCGGTCGTGTCGTCTTACCGTCCCTGCGTACTATGAGAGTGAGGGAACAGAGAGTGTACCTGTGCTTGTGCATACACTCGTACACTATAATTCTATCCTGCGCAGATAGCTGGCTAGTCTCTGTTGAGACTGACTGCCGTGACCTAAATTCGGTCTGGAGGACATTATTACTTAACTTAGTTCTTACAAGGATGTCATGTATTTTTTTTTATTTCAACATCCGTCCAGCTAACATTAGTTTTTGTGGTATAGTGTTTTCTGAATTTCTCTAAAGGTTTATCGTAAAAATTACTTGGTATTTGCTTTATTCGTCAGAATTTCGTCACAGTTGCAAATTAAGTTGTTGAAAGTTGAGTGAATGGCGAGGTTTATATATACTTAATTAATTTTGGGAATTATTTTAATTAATTAATTCAATTTATATATTTTTAACTTCACATAATTATTAATGAATTAATTTAATCAATTAAATTACATAATTAATTTTGTTAATAATTAATTAATTAAAGTAATTAATTAATCAAATTAATTAATTATATATAAACTTCTATTGAATAGTTGCCGTTTACAATTGGCCAGTTGTGGGAAGTGGTTAGTACTTAATACTACAATGTACACTATCGATATATTTGTTGTCTTGCACTGAAATAAGATATCATAAAAACTATGCTAGGTTTTAGGAAACCACGGTGCAAATAAAAGTTATTTCCAGTGTCTAATCTCTTTACAACTTCTAGGTTTAATTATTTTATAACTGACTGTTCATTTATACTGGAAAGTATACTTAGGCAAGTATAAATGTGTTTTCTCTGTTTAATTTTAAAAACCATTATTAAATACAAAAACACACTGAAAAAAATTCATGAAGACCAGGATAATAAAGTTTTACTTTCATAATCTGACTGATAACACTGCTAGGCATTGAGTCAACTTAATTGTCTACAATTCTTATACTATATATACTATTAATATATATATAAGGACAGATAGCTGTCAGATAAAATGGGTTAATGGATGATGCCAGAATACGAAGTAAACGAATGCCATATTCTTTCCATATTATGCATTTAAAATTAGTGTTAAATTTATTGTTCACTGCAAGACAGCAAACTATTTTAAATTAATAACACAATGTTTTTTGCACAATTTTTCCGTACACTAGTTACTTAAATATGTATTAAATATCAATTCCTCGAAAGCGGCCTTTGCTACGAGATTCTCAACTCTATATCTTAGAATTTAAGTAATATTTTGTCTAAATTATCGTTAGCTTTATACCTAATTTAGAGGTATTTATATAAACTACCTCTAAGTTTTATATAGTGTAATACAATTAACAATACAAATCCTACCAAAAACTCTTTACAGTGTGTAATTGGTTTGAAAAATAAAAAAGGAAGAGGTTGATGGCGTGCCACAAACTATACAAACTCAGTAGTGCCGTCTGCAGTGATGTTTTTATTTTTCAAACGGTTATTGACAACTTAGGAACAAGATATGATAGTAATCTGTGAAATATTTAAATAATGTAATAGGTATTTTTGAATATATACAGACTTGGTCTTATGACTTCTGATATTTTGATACTGACCATACCCTGGATGTTTTTGAGCACCGTCACTAACAAAGTCACAACAAGTACACGTAATGCAAATAAATAACAGAAGTCCCAAAACCGTCACATTTAAGCAAGAGGTGTTTAGACAATTATTGTAAATATGTCTTAGCAAGTAATCGTATAACACTAGCTTGTCCACGACATTTCGGTATTCGCTTAACTATAGTTTTAGTTACCCACGCAGCATTGTGCTCGGCTTGTAAACAACTATGAATTACATGAGGCCTCTTCAATATTTTGATTTATAAATATCTGATACAATCGATGTTTTTAATAGAATAGTTTGAGTTGCTTATATTTTAATTTACACAACAAACATGTGTCGTATATTATTATTGATAAACGTACTATATTGTTGATTAACATATACATATAAATAAATTACTAGCGTCTGTTAAAGTCAAGCGTCATTCAAAATAATATTTCTCTCATGGCAAGATAAGAAAAAGTACGAGGGAGGTGGATGTTATTTCATCTCGCTCGCACTATAGAGAGTCGTGATAGAAAAACTTCGTTCCAAAAAATAATTAAAAACTTAAATTATCATACAGTTTTACTCCCGGTGGTGTTGTGCTAAAAACGCTGGCTAGGTTTGCTCGCTGAATAGCTATGCTATACTTAGCCTTTTAGC